GCTTTTTATTCTTTTTTTTGGTTTGAAGCAGAGATTTGCTTATTTCTGTGCTTTAAAAAAGTCACCAATTGGTGTATGAAATGTAAAACAATGATGAATTCAAACAGCATATTAATAAAAACATGAATACCAAACTCTGGGGTAGATTTTTCTTTTCATTGCCTTAGTGAAGTAATTTGTAACTTAATTCTTTTTTGTAGTAACTGATCACCAAAAAAACCCTGATATCATTTGTTTACTTAGTTGTTTTTAGTTAGTTTATGAGAAATATACATCTTGTGTATTGCCGAGGAAAATAGTAAGGGGAAGAGATTAAGAGACTGAACCAAAGATACAGTTAAAAGTAAATCTAAGAGGGGTCTTGACTCCTGAATTCCCTTAAGGTTGTTGGCTGTTGCTTAGGTATTTTAATAAAATCACAATATACAAATACCATATTTTAAAAGTCACCTTTAGTTTAAGCAGCTTGGCATTTGTGGCCACATTTGTTATTAACAAGTTCAGAAGGGACTCAGAGCCGGAAATGCGTTAGGGTGGTGTTGAGGGCGGGGCGGGAGGGTGTACAGGTACGTGCAGAGGGTGAACCAAGTCCTGAGGAGACTTGCCATGGATGGTGTGGGCGGGGAGGCTGACTGCAGAGCCTGGGCCCGGTGGGCGTGCAGCAAACCTGAGGAAGCACTGAGCAGCCTCTGGGTCCTGGAACACCAGAATCTGTTTAGTGGCAGGGACTAAGGAAACATACCCTCCATGCCTCTTTTTATTTCTTTTTAAAGCTTTTTAAAAATATAATTTATTGAGTTTTTACAGAGAGGAAGGGAGAGGGATAGAGAGTTAGAAACAATGATGAGAGAGACACATCGACCAGCTGCCTCTTGCACACCTCCCACTGGGGATGTGCCCACAACCAAGGTGCATGCCCTTGACCGGAATCGCACCCGGGACCTTTCAGTCCGCAGGCCGACGCTCTAGCCACTGAGCCAAACCAGTTTGGCTCTTTTTTAATTTTTAATATTTTTCTTTTTAATCCTCACCTGAGGATATTTTTTCTATTGAATTTTAGAGAGAGTGGAAGGTGGGCGGGAGGGATGGAGGGGGGGAAGAGAGAGAGAGAGAAAAAGAAAGAGAGAGAGATGAAAGAGACATCGATTGGTTACCTTCCCGCATTGCCCCAGCTGGGGTCAGGGATGACCCTTATATGTGTGGGTCAGTTTTCTAACCCAGCGATCGCCAACCTTTTGGACCTCATGGACCACCAGTGGTCCTTGGACCACCGGTTGGTGACCGCTGCTCTAACCACTTAAGATACTAGCCAGGGCCCTCCAGGCCTCTTAATCCCTCCCAGACCCCTATCCCTTCACCCTCTGCCACACCAGCCTCCTGGTGTCCAAGTCAGGAGTCTTGGTTTCAGAAAACACCACCATATTTTAATTAGATTGTTTTCAGTTAAAAAATGGGCAGAGGACCAGAACAGACACTTTCCCAAGAAGACATAGAGGTGGCCAAAAGATTTATGAAAACTTCACTAGCTATAAGGGAAAAGCAAATCAAAACCACAAGATACCAGCTCACATCTGTTAGAATGGCTATCATCAATAAGACAAGTAATAACGGTGTCGGAGAGGATGTGAAGAGGAGGGAACCCTTGCACACTGCTGGTGGGAACACAGCCACCATGGAAACAGTATGGCAGTTTCTCAGAAAATTAAGAGTAGAACTACCATGTGACCTGGCAATCGTTCTGGGTATCTACCTGAAAAACTTGAAAACATTTATTTGTAAAAATAATGTACCCCTATCATTATTCACAGTGGCCAAGACATAGAAACAAGCCAGTGTCCTTCGACAGATGATTGGCTAAAGGAGATGTGGTGCATATGTACAAAGGACACTACTCAGCTATACAAGGATGACATACTGCCATTTGGGCAGCACGGGTGGATTGTGAGAATATCATGCAAACAGCAATATGATCTCACTCATATGTGGGATATAAAACAAAAAACACGTTCACAGACAATAGTATGGCGGTTACCAGATGGGAAAGGGGTGGGGAAAGATGAAGAGGGTATAGGGGGTCAAATAAGCGGTGATTGAAGGGGACTAGGCTTTGGGTGGTGAGCACACAATGCAATACACAGATGATGTATTCTAGAACTGTACATCTGAAACTTATATACTTATTAACCAGTGTTACCCCAATAAATTTAATTTAAAAAAAAAAGAAAAGAAACCAACTGAGGGCTTGTTTAAGCAGAAAGTTACAATATGGGCTAAAAACAGGCCCATATTGGACAGGCCGTAAGGCACATGGCCTGGCAGCAGAATGGAAGCCCAGCTGTGAGCTGTGCTGCGGGAGATGTTGGGAGGCTGCCCCTGCCCACCTCCTGCTGTTTGGAAGATGGGCTCCCGGACTGTCCTTTAATCTTATTTTTTCCTCTGAGGTCCTTCTCTTTGTCCTTTAGTTCTCTTTTCTGGGAGATTTCCCCTTTCTTTGTCCAATTCTACTTTTGAGATTTCAAAATTCTACTGTCATATTTTTATTATTCAATAACTAGGAAGTCCTCATAATGTTCCTGTTTTTGTTTCACCAGTACAGTTTCTTATTTCTTAAGCTTTCTTCTCTGTACGTCATGCCTGCTCTGAATTCTTTTTCTCCCCCTGTTTCTTTTTGGGGCTGTCTTTATTGAGACCTGTTTTGGGTTTTCTTCAAAAACACCTGACTGTTGGCTGTTGGTTCATATTCAAGAATGAGCTGGGCCGAGCCCTTGGAGCCATGGTAGGATGTCCTCTGGTGCCTTTGTCTTAGAGAATGTGTCAGTGAATCTGACCCCTTTGTTGGTATCTGACCCCTGCATCTTGGTATCTCCAGGCCTTTTCTCTTGGGCTACAGGAGTGCTTCTAGAGAAACTGTCTACTCGCTCACCTGCCAGTGAGAGATATGAACTGGGAGCTTCTTTATTCAGAGGGTGGTCCTCCCCCCCGTGCACCATGGTCCCTCATGTGATTTGCTCCTTCTATCCGGCACTTCTTACCCCTGGTCTCATTCTGCCCCTCTTTTCTGTAATCCCTTTGCTGTGGCTGATAAAACAAATGTTGACTGTTGGGATGCAGGCTAGGCAGATTTGGTCTCAGCTTAAAATATTTGTATGCAACACTGAGGCTAAAATAGCAGAAGGGGAAATGGACAGACTTAAAATATGCAATTTTCAGGATTGTGAATCAATATACTAGTAGTGAAAATTTAGAGGAGTAAGATTCATAGTTAAGGACTGTTCTCAATAATAGCACTTTACATGTAAAATGTTATGTTGGTTATATATGCTCCCAAAATTAATCATACCCTAAGAAATATTGTATGCTCTTCTGTCATAAAATAACTAACTTTTCTAATGAATTTTTATTTTCTTTCAGATCCTATCACATAGGACAGTATGTACCTTCAGATCCTGAAGAAAAGGCGCAAAATGTTCAAGTAATGTTTCAAAGTAATTTGTGAGGTGAGCGTGTGGTTCTTCATTCAGGTGTATAATCACTGTTGCCTTTCTGACAGCTGACACGGGTGGCATGCCATTGAAAAGGCCGCACAGGCCACACAGAAGGTTAATGGTGATAAGGAAATATTTCTCTCCGCCTGTTGTCCTTGGTTTGCTTACTGCCTGTCCTAGAAGGAGAGCATATCATAGGGGTGGGGCAGGGCAACCAGAAAGTTAAGTTATTAGCAAGTTTCACAAAGTGAAGTGAATGCTTAGTATAAATGGAATGGAATGTTTTTGCTTGTACGGTTGTCCCCTTAAATAATGGAGGTCTGAAGTGTAGCTTTCGTGTTCTGTGAAACCAGGCTTTATTTAGTGAAAGGACAAGAAGCTGGGCGTCAGAAGTGTAGACAAAAATCACATTAAGTTGGAAAACGATGATGCGACATCTTCTTGACCATCGGTCAATGCATAGTGCTTTCAGGTTTCTCCCAAAAATGGTCTTCAGGAGTATTAAATCAATAGCGATTTTGGTGTTTAGTGTAGAATAAGATTGCAGCCTTCTTGTAATGAGTGTGTATATTTTAGTTTTGCATCGAGAATCACTGTACCATTGCTCTCATGCTCCCAGTATTTTTAGATTAGTTCAATGTAAAGGAATTGTTTCTTCATTTCCTCCCCTCCCTTCCTGCTGCATTAGTGAAGTGGATACAGTGACTCAGCAGAATGCTCGTGCAGTTGATGACAGACAACTGAACACATCCAGCTTAACCTTGCTGCATCCATTGCTTGCATTCTTGAAAAGAAAGTCACTCCTGGCTATCAGATACTTTTCCCTTTGTCTTCTAGTGGATTTAACAAGTTTGCCTCTAAAGCCCACGAGCATTATGCACCAGCACTCTATTATGCACGCCAGGAATGTCCTGCCACGCCAGTGGCTGGTGTCCTTGTGGTTCCCGCCGAGGCGGAGCACCACTGGCTGTGTCCTGCACTCTGGCCATCCGCACCAGTGCCTCCACCGGAAGGTTAGGCTGGATTGGCTCAGCTGGTCAGCATGTGTGTCTTTAGAAGCTATTCAAGGTCCTGATTTCTGGGGGGCGCTTACACCGCACCAACACTGTGCTGACAAAAAGCTAGTCTGTCTCTGGACATGTGGCTGTGCAGCTCTTTATCTTACTGCCCAGCATCGTTTCTCATAGAAAGCATTCTATTGGAGGAGTCACCCTAAAGCAGAGGGGTTCTGCTGGAGGAATTTTTCAGCTTAAGGTCTGCATGTACAGTTACGATTCAGTAAGAAACTTATGGAAATCACTAGGAATTAATCGCATCTCAGAGGTACCAGTTTCTTGTTGATCTGTCTGTAAACAAACACGCACTTGCCAACAGTACACAGGCAACAAAGGGAGCACAGGGAGCGAGGACCAGACCCTCCATCCAGGCCGACCAGGAGGGAAGACAGCAGCTCTTGTGGGGAGGGGTCCATGCACTGCAAGTGGAACTGATGAGCGTGCCCTGAGAGCTCTAGACCAGTAGAAGTGTCTGGATAGTGTCAGCCCTCTGGTAGAGTCAGGCGTTAGAGTGGGGTGGGCAGAAGCAGTTTGCACCTCTTCTCCAGATATTCATGTCTGATATTCACAGACCTTTCAAAGTGCTCCTTGGAGGAAGGAGAGCTGTCTTTTCAGGATGCCTTGTTTGGAAGAGAGAAACATTGGGTCCTACAGGGTGTGGATGCCAGAGGAATGGACTCGGCGGAGGTGTTTGCAGGGGAAGGTGGGCAGGCAAATCTGGGTGATGTCAACATTCATTCATGCTCCCTGCCTGAGAGAATGGCTGGCTAAGGTCGACCCAATTCTTACCTTTTAGTTTCTTCTTTTTTACTTAACAAAATCTTAAAGATATTTTTGCTGATCTAAGAGCAGGTGTTATTTTACTGAACATGGGGGAACATTTTTATTTCTCTCTTATACCAGTCCATGTTTTTATATAAAGGGGGAATTTTCAAATTATTTGCAGAATGAACTCTCATCTGCAAGTTCATTTGTTCATTAAATGTTTTCATAATTACTATCCTCCAGTTGCCTTTAAGGAAAAACAAACAAACAAAAAAATGACCTGGCCAGTGTTGCTTAGTAGTTGAGCATCTACCTAGGAACCAGGAGGTCACAGTTCGATTCCCGGTCAGGGCACATGCCCAGGTTACGGGCTTGATCCCCAGTAGAGGGCGTGCAGGAGGCAGCCGATCAATGATTCTCTCTCATCATTGATGTTTCTCTCTCTCTCTCTCCCTCTCCTTTCCTCTCTGAAATAAATATATATACACTAGAGGCCTGGTGCATGAAATTTCATGCACTGGGGCGGTCCCTCAGCCCCGCCTGTGATCTCTTGCAGTCTGGGACCCCTTTCTCCTTACCGCCCGCCTGCAGTGGAGGCGGCAGAGGCTCCTGCCACCGACACTGCACTCGCCAGCCATGAGCCCAGCTTCTGGCTGAGTGGTGCTTCCCCTGTGGGAGCACGCTAACCACCAGGAGGAAGCTCCTATGTTGAGCATCTGCCCCCTGGTGGTCAGTGTGAGTCATAGTGACCAGTTGTTCCACTGTTTGGTCTATTGGAATATTAGGGTTTTATTATATAGGATAGGATGTGTGTGTGTACATATATTGAAATGCCCAGACTCAAAGACTGCTGGTAATCACTTGTAGCAGACTTGACTCCAAGAGCACCCATTCTCCCCACTCCTGCTCCTTCACAGAGGGGAGGGGCCCTCGCTCTGTGCTTGTCTGAAAGATGAGCAGTGCACCTGTGCTGAGAAAGCACTTGGGTCATTGGCTAAAAGGCTGCCAGTGATTTTCTGTCCCTTGAATGAACGCTAAGGCCAAATGAACGCTGACTCTATTTTCCTTGTCTTTATCACGAGTATCACTACACTTATACAAACATTGATAGAGAAGGTCATATGTTTAAAGAAGTTGCTAGAAAAAATGCAAGTTCCTCTTGCCTTTCGTTGGACCCTATATGTTCTCAGGTATCCAGAACTGTAGAAATTTAGGAAAGGTGCCAAAAGAATGGGTTTATAAGTGAAGGAAACTTTAAAAGATTAAAATAGAGAGGAAGAGTGTTCTAGAAACAGTATAGAGTTGAAGAAGATAGAGATAAAAATGGGAGCCTACCTCCAAAACATGATCAGCATTATCAGAGCTAAAACGAGGGAGGAATGAAAGTAAACTGAGAATCACATGGAGAAAACCCAGGTAAGCGCTGTGGTGTGGACAGCGGGTGGCAGCCGTGGTACAAGTCTCGTGTTCCATGGGGCTCTGGAACTTGGGTGCTGTGGTTCTGCATTGGGCTTGTTCTCCTCATTATCTTTGTCCCTCTGTGGCAGTGGCTAGGTCTGCGTGTGCTCCCCGGGAGCCTCATCAGCTCTGTGTCCAATCCCCCTCTAGGGTGCATCGGGGAAATCATGCCGTCATCAGGACACCGGCTCCGTGATGTCGAACACCATCCTCTCCTGACCGAAAATGACCATTATGACTCTTCGTCCTCCTCTTCCTCCGAGGCTGACGCGGCTGACAGGGTCTGGTTCATCCATGACGGTTGTGGCATGATCTGCGCTGTCATGACGTGGCTTCTAGTCGTCTATGCAGACTTTGTGGTGACATTTGTCATGCTGCTGCCTTCCAAAGACTTCTGGTACTCCGTGGTCAACGGAGTCATTTTTAACTGCTTAGCGGTGCTTGCCCTGTCATCTCACCTGAGAACCATGCTCACCGACCCCGTGAGTACTCGCTGCTGCGCTGCATTTTCCCCACGTGTCTGGTCTATTGTGACATGGCCGTGCGCCAGACGGCCTCTTGCTCCTGTAACCTCGGGTTTTTATTAATTCCTAAATACAGGCTTGTAGCGTTTTTCACTGGAGAGTAAGCATCGCTTAAATAGAAGTGATAGCATGGTATGTTAATGAAAAATATTCCCGCTGGCTGTTTATTCAAATGAAGAGATTGTACTAAATAATTTCTAAAATCCCTCCTCGTTTAAATATTTCATTTCTCTAAGGAATGGACTGAAAGCTGAGAGATACAGGATCTAGATTTTACCACTCTGCTAACCTTTTCAATTGCCTTTTGACCATAAGCAACTAATTTAACTTCTTTGGGCTAAAGCAGTGGTTCTCAACCTTCTGGCCCTTTAAATACAGTTCCTCATGTTGTAACTGAACCATAAAATTATTTTCGATGCTACTTCATAACTGTAATGTTGCTACTGTTATGAATCGTAATGTAAATATCTGATACGCAGGATGGTCTTAGGCAACCCCTGTGAAAGGGTCGTTCGACCGCCAAAGGGGTCGCGACCCACAGGTTGAGAACCGCTGGGCTAAAGGGTAGCTATTACCTCTAAGTTCTTGCTAGCTTTATAATTCTCTTGGTTTTAAGTCTCGGCTAAAATCAGAAGTAAACGGCTCATTCTAGCTGGTAAAAGGTCAAGGTTCAGCCGCACGAAGCCGAGAGGGAGAAGTCACTAATTACCGGTTCCCTCAGGGGTGAGGGTGACCTTGGAGAAAGCGGTTGCTAAACAGAGATCAGGTTCAGTGCAGTGAGCGAGCTGGCACCGGTGTTCGAGAACAAGGGTGGCGTGTTGGGCTTGTCTTTGGAGCATTTCCCTGAGAATAAAGATGGGCCAGCTCTCACACAGTGAGCTGATGTCTTGAAGGCCCAGGACTCAGAACCTCCATGCTGGGCGTAAGGCAGCTAACCTGAGATTTTGAGGCGTCCTCTGGTTAGGCAAAATGGTAGTGATCCCCGAAGTTCAGCCAGGGATCACCTCCAGATTGGCTTCCAGGCTCACCTCAGAGTCCAGAGGAGGCTGCTTGTGGGAGGGCAGCCTGCAGCCCAGGGGAGAGTTCTCCCGCCAGTGGAACTGCTGCAGGTGTCAGCTAGGTTTCGTGATCGGTGTGGTGTTCGGTTTGCAGAGGTCCTTTCCACCGCAGCATTAAAAGAGTGGTTTTAAGCCATTGGTGCAGGGCCTCCTGATTTGTACAGTCAAGTCTACTGGCTCACGTCTGTTGGTAAGCTTCCTCTTAAAAGGTACCAAGAAATTAATGTTTTGTTATAAAACTTTTTTATACATAAGATGAGGCCTTCGTCTGAGAATAAACCGATACTGATCAGTCCACGGAATGTGGTTGACACATTGACCTACCTGACTTCTGTTGTGTCTGAATTCGTGTCACAGGATGTTACCCTAGATTATTTACTCTGTTGCCTGTTTGCCCAGTGGAGGTCTTGGGCCTCGGGCAGTATCATAGGCCCAGCCAGTGGGCAGCTGGGAGCAGCACTTAGGTGACAACTTGGAAGCTAAGTCTGCCCATGGTTTTATAGCCTCACCTGATTGTGGGGTCTTTCACCATCACCGGATATGATGTCCCTCAGAGACGTTTAAAGCAGCGGTCACTGACCAGTGGTCCGGGGACCACTGGTGTTCCATAAGGTCCGAAAGGTTGGCGACTGCTGGTTTAAAGGACACTTTCTCCTTCCCTTTACACAGCAAAGCCTCCCTCTGGGAACACACCTGCTCCTGGCCCCTGTGCATCTCCATCCCCTGTCCTCACTGCAGCAACAACATCACACCAGGCCACAGAGGGGGCAGTGACAGGGCCAGGGCCCAGATTAATGGTTTCTACTCACATATTCGTTCGCGGGAAAGCCCTGTTGGTGTGGACCATCCTCCTGGATGTTGAAAGCTGGATGAGTCCATCCTTTGTAGCATTTTGGTGATGGGACCTCCTCTACACACAGGTCCCTAGTTGTGAGTGTGCAGGGCGGGGCCTCAGGGGATGGAGGCTGACCAGGCAGACACTCCTTGTCTGAGTGTGTTTGTTTCCTCTGTTAAGCATAGTTGTCTCTCACTCCTGGCTGTGTAGCTCCCGGCCCCACCCTTCTCCTCCTCTGGGAAAAGGCCTCAGAACTCTTACCGGAAGTCCCAAGAGCTGGGGGAGGTGTGTGCGGAATGTCCCCTCTGTCCCTGGTGGGTGTGTGCGTCACTGTGGTGTTGAGTAGAAGCATGAGAGGGAGGCAGACCAAGCTAGAGGAGGAGTTGAAATCATGGACATCAGTTTTTTCATTGGAATTTGATTCATATACCACAAACACCACAAAGTGCATAGTTCAAAGTGCATAGTTCAGTGATTTTTAGTGCATTCACAGAATTGTGCAACCATCACTACAATCAATTTTAGACATTTCATCACCCCAAAAAGCCCCTGCACTCGTAGTCATCACTGCCTAGTTCCCCATTTCCCCCAGCCCTAGGCAGCCACTAATCTACTTTCAATCTTTGCCTCTTCTGGAATCATAACTGTAATCATACAATATGTGGCCTCCTATGCCTGGCTCCCTTCGCCCAGCGTGAGGTTTTCAGGGTGCGTCCAGGTTGCAGCACATGCCACTGTCTCATCCTCTCACGGCCGAGTAGCATTGCTGTGTGTGGACAGACCCCGTTTAGTTGATTAGTGTCACTTGAGGGACCTTTGGGTTATTTCCACGTTGGGCTGTTAGGGGTACTGCTGTCATGAAAATGTCGTACAAGTTTTTATGTGGACCTGGGCTCGTTTCTTGTGTACATACCTAGGAGTGGAATTGCTGGGTCATGTGGGAACTCTGCATTGAACTTTTTGAGGAACCGCCAGGCTGTTTTCCACAGCAGCTGCCCCATTTTTCATCCCCACCAGCAGTGCCTGAGGGTCCAGTTCCTCTGCATCCTCTCGTCTTGTTCACCTTTTGTCGTAGCCGCCTCAGGAAATGAAGTGGTGCTAGTGATGCTGAGCATCTTTCCATGTGCTTCTTGGCTATTCCTATGTCTTTGGAGAAGTGTCCATTTAAGTGCTCTGTCCATTTGGATGTCACTGGTTCAGCCAGGCCACACCAGAACTCTGGTGGCAAGTTACAGAACCCACTGGGAGTCAGTGTAAATAAAACGGAGGAACCTAAGGGCAAGAGTCCTGCAGAGAGCCTGGCTGGCTGCAGAACCGGGATGTGAACACCGTGAAAGGTAGACTGGGGCTGGGGCGGACAGGCTTTCTCTGTCCTGTGGGTATGCTGTCTTGCCCAGCATCCCGGCTCTCCCTGCGCCTAGGGAAGAAGGTAGCCAGCCCCACAGAGCATGCAATTGGAATTAGGTTCCAGATCCACATTCCTGAAGGGAGACTATGAGGCCCAGCAGGGTCAGGTGTCCACTCTTGTCTTCTCAATGGGGGGTTTGCTTTCTTTTCTTTGCAGAGCACGGCTTTACCATCCCAGGGTCCAGTGTGGGCTCAGCTAGAACCACCACGCCACCCCAGGGCAGGGCAGATAGCCCACTGCGGCTTCATGTCTTTTTGCTAAACCAATAGGACCTAGGCAGCCTTTGCTAGGATTGGCTTTAGTTTGTTATTTGAGAAAAGCCCTTTGTACTTCGAATGAGGAGCAGGAAGGATGATGTGGTCCATGACCTTTGATGGAGCAGAAATCTGATCATAAAGCAACGGCCCAGCTATTGGAAGATGAGACTTTCACCAATCTTAACGTTGGGAAACACCGAGAACTTAAAATTGTGAAGGGACACCGAGTGACTGCAAAGTGGCCGCTCACCCCTCACCAGAGCCTGCTGTCCTGAAGCCCCAGCCTTTTTTTGTTTTTGTTTTTTGTTAATCCTCACCAGAGGATATTTTTTTCCATTACTTTTTCAGAGAGAGGGGAGATGGGGGAGAGATACAGACAGAGAGAGAAGGGGAGGGCAAGAGAAATATTGATGTGAGAGACACATCAACAGGTTGCCTCCCGCATTCGCCCTGACTGAGGGTGGGGAGCGAACCTCAAGACCCAGGCCCTGCCCTTGACCAGGAATCTAACCTGCAACCCTTTGGTACACAGGCCATACTCTGCGCACACCAGCCAGGGCCCAGCCTCTTTTTATGAACACCAGCCTTCTTAGCAGACGTTTGCTGAGTGCCGATGAAGGGCACCCTTGGAGGAGCGTTGGTCCTGTGCCAGGTGTTGCCAGAGATGTTCTTTCATTAACCCTCCAGCACCTAGGAGAGGTGGAGTAAATGAGACCAACATCCAAAAATGAGACCCCACATAAAGCTGGGATTCGAACAAGATTTGTCTGTCTCCAAAGCCCCTGCTTCATGTTAAATTCTTATTTATAGGCTAGAGGCCCGAAGCACAAAATCTGTGCAACAGTAGGCCTTCCTTCCCCCGGCTGCCAGCACCGGCTTCCCTCTGGCACCCAGGACCCAGGTTTCCCTTGCAGCCCTGACTTCATCCAGAAGGTCACCTGGAAGGATGTCCGGTCTAATTAGCATATTACGCTTTTATTATTATAGATGTTTCACACTTACACAGATAGAGAGAATATAGTGTAATGAACCCCATGGTTAGTCTTGTTCAGCCATACCCTCACCTAACTCCCTCTCTTCCCCTCCCCAGAGTATTTGGAAGTAAATCTCAGACACTATAAAACTATTTGTAAATATTTGTGTGTATCTTTAAAAAGTAAGGGCTTTTCTTTATAAAAGCATAGCCTCAAAGCCCGTAGCTCATGTGGAGCTACTGATTAATTTCTCCCTACCTCTTCAGTTACAGCTCACATTTCCTCAGTGGTCTCAGTTCTTTTACATTCTTCTTGTTTGAATAAGGATCCAAATGAGTTCTGTACTTTGCGATTGGTGCACCTATCTCTTATATCTCTTGATCTCTGTTGTGTTCCTTCTTGCTTATTTCCTTGGGATTTTTTTTT